TAAATAGAATTTAAACATTTTTTTAAAGCATTTAAGTTTTCCTGATTAGATCTTGCACATATGTGTGAAAAAAGAAAGACAAAGAAATGTGAAAGACAGTGAAAGATACAGAAAGAGATTGAAAATGATAGTCAAAAATTAATAAGAACATCTTTGGAGAGCATCAAGGAATCAACTTAATCTGAAAACTGATAAATAAAGGTAATCTAACATTTATGTTCCTCTCCTGTACTGTACAATAAGAAAAAAGGTGACAAGAGAAAATTGCTATTTATAGGTAAAATAAAACTATTATATGAATAAGAAATGATAAAAAATTCAAATAACACTATTAAAACAATGTATCTAAACAATAATCATCCACAGTTGTTGTTAAGTAAAAAACTGTTAGGGAACTTTATAATGGATGGATCACAGTGACAATATTTGAACCCAGTGATGAATATTATCATCACAAAAAATACTCATACATTATTTACTTTGTGATATACTGCAATAAGATAATCATCTATAAACTATTCTCTCAAAAAATAAATTAAACCAATTCTGAGTAGGACTCTGGATTTAACTACCAACTCATAAGAAATAGAGGGGATATAATCAAAATATAGTACACATATTGAAACAGTAAAAGCAACAGGTATTAATAAATAAGTTAAAATTTAAAACTCATTAAAAATCAGTATGAGAGATCCATGTGATAATGGAATTGTTCTATATGTTAATTATATTGATGTCAATATCTTGGATATATTACACTATAATTTTCTAAGACTTTATTATTTGGGAAAAATGGGTAAATCATACACCAGATTCCTTCTGAGTATTATTCTGACAATGACATGCTAATCTATAATTACCCCAAATAAAAATTCTAATTTATAAAAAAAGAAACAGAAGGGAGAGGAATATGTTAAGGGACACCACAGTGATGGAATTAAAACCAAAATATTAAATATTCTGAAAGACAAACAGCCTACTACATTTAACAAATAAATTATTAAGAAGAAATAAGGGACAGAGAGAACTAACTATAGATCTAAAATGATTTAAGAAACTCACTGATTAAATATGTGATCCTTGTTTAGATCATGATTCAAGCAAATCAACTTATTTATTTTAAAAAAACCTTTATGAGGCAAAGGGAAAAATGTGAAGATTAATTGTATAGTTAATTATACTAATGAATTACTAATACTAACTGGAGAGTTAATTATACTGTACCAATGACTTACTAATACTAACTGGAGAGTTAATTATACTATACTAATGAATTACTAACTGGAGAGTTAATTATACTGCATTAATGAATTACTAATTATATATATATGATAATGATACTCTGGGTATAGTAAAACAACAAAAATATGTCTCTTTTAAAGATACACACATATATAGACACATACACACATTAATAAATAAAATTCATATGAGGCACATGATCTTCAAAACAGTCTGGGGGAAGAAGCAGGGAATGTTTGCATAAATGACATAAAACTGGCCACATGTGATGGATGAGGTGATGGATGAGCAAAGGTTCATTATACTATTGTATTTTTATATGTACATTTTAATGCTCATAATTGTGGAGGTGAGGTTATCCCTGGTAAACTACTAATCTCTGAAGCTTTCTTATTTAACATAATGACTGAGCCCATCTCCACATAAGGCATTATTCCAGGTATTAGAGAAACAGTATAAAATTTCTACAACACAGCAACTGACAGGTGACACAATTATTACATAAATGTTCACACAGAAAAATTTACTAGAAGTACATAATGCCAGAGATTTACTAATAATAACTGACATATGAGTACGAACAATAAGCATATGATATATTTAATGAGCTATGGGAGGGGATAATTACCTCACATTTTTTTTCTGATTCACAGATTTCCAATATTACCAAAGTCAGAAGTCAAAGTAAAAAATACTACCTACTTTCTCCTTTTCATGCAAACTAATTTTTATGGTGTTAAATAATTTTCGGTTTTCTTCTGCTTTAGGATGATGTACAACAAAATTTGTAATGGGAAAAGGAGAAAAGAAGGGGAAAATACATATATGTATATACACACAATAGCTAAAATAACTGTACTACTCATTCTATTAGTTCATTGAAGGGAACCATTAGTGTTTATATTGTTTGATCAATTTTGCATGCCTATATCTGGTAATCTGAAAAAGTATTTTGAAGGCAACAAAATGCAATATAATGATCATTGTTAATTTCCTATCATCTTGTTTTGAAATTCTGTATCATTTTTATTGTTTTTTATTCTTTAAAATAAAAATTGTTACAAAAACATTTTAGCCACTTTTTATCTTTTTATTGTAATAAAATAAGCATTTGATTAAAAGAAATGTGAGCAAAGAAAAAGCTAAAAACAAAGGCTCAAGAACTTTCCATGTAATCATGAGTAGTAAAACCAAAATGATATCCTATAAAAGCATAAACAAAAAATTACTAGGCTTAAAATTAGTATACTTTCCTAGCCCAATACACAGTATTCATTTCCTACAAATTAGAAACTGAGAGACAAGGAATTATAAGTAGGCATATTTGAATCCTTACTTTCAAACCCTAAATTTTAAAAATTAAACTTTTATAAGTATCCATACTTCCTTATATAGGGACCACAGACACACCTCACCATGTCTAGCTCTGAATTCAAATTTTTAAATATCGTGTGTGCGTGCATGCGTGCATGAGTGTGTGTGTGTGTGTGTGTGTGTGTGTGTGTGTGTGTGTGTGTGTGTGTGCTGCTGGAGATCAAAGCCAGGGCCTTGAGTATGCAAGGCAAGTGCTCTACCAAGTTATACTCCCAGTCAAAAATATCCTTCAATGTGTTAAAATAGTAAAACTTTCTTGACTAGGATTTTTTGTAACTAAGCACTGAATGATTAAAATGTATATAATGTAAGGAAATCAACAAATACTACTTATTATGAACCACTCTACTTCATGAACAAGGAAGTGGCCAGTCACCAGTTTATAAGTCACAATAAAGAAGAGCAAATAACATTTCAAATACTAGACAAGAATAAAACATTGTTTAATAGAAATACAATTTTGGTCACATCACTCTGTTCCCTATGGAGAACTTTCAAGTTCAACAATATCATAAGGAAATGAAATGTATAGCCATTTATAAAGTTTGTATTTAAAGAGAAGATTAACCATACAGCATTTCTCAGAGAAGAACCATGTCACTGTTAATGTGTATTCTCTAATTTGGGGGTCATATCTTTGTGTTATTGCGAAAACAACCAACTTTAGTTTTCTCATGCAGTTCCATCTTATATTGTAAGTTATCTGAATCTTTACACATATATAACTAATAAGCCAAGCCTCTATGGAGATGAGCAGGTTCAATATCCAGCAAAGCAGATTTCATATCAACTACTGCTTTGTCAACTGTTCTGAAAGGAGTAGGATTCCACCTCTACCTAATGGGGCATAATTCGCTACAGAGAACATCATGTACTTCATCCTTAGAAGACTGACTAAACCAGCAAAAAAAAAAAAAAAAAAAAAAAATAATGAGGTGGATGGGGCACTACAGAGAGAGATTCCTAGCCATAAATAAAATAGAACTGAAGTGTTCAATATCATTTGCTTATAAACAAGAGAAAATAACAGATTCAATATGAAAGGGCACATAATCCTATGCCAACCAAGGCCAATGGTTAGAATGAAAATTAATTTCCATTTAAGGCACTTCTTTCTCCTTCAATAATATCTTAATTAGACCATTATTAAAAGAGGTTGCATTTATTGAAGACACTAGGCAGGCAGGTCAGATGTAAATATCCCAATTACCTTATCCAATGATCTCACACAATTTGGGATGAAGCCACTCTTCCATTTGCCCAAGGTACACAAGGTACCAGGCAGCATGACGTCTAACTAGACCCACATCTTTCCATCCCAATTAATATGCGTCACATTTCTAAAAAAAAAAAATCTAAAGCACAAATCTAAATATGTTCTGTTTCCAAGCACCAACGTCTAATGTGGCTATTGTTCCTCCCAAATTATGTTCATAATAATTCCATGCTTGTTACACATGTTCTGGACCCAAAGTACCTATATAGTTCTAGGATCACGAGCTAAGAAACTAATGTGCTCCAAGTCCATTTCATAATGTAATATTTCTTCTCAACTGTTAAGTACCCTAAAAAAATATCATTTGTCTAAACTTCACATCTAGATTATTAATAATGTGTGTTAATTCTGAGGTAAATATCACATATCCATTAGACATACTGGGCTGTATTTAGAAATATTTTTATGTACCTTTTAATCATTAAAAATTAATTTTCATTCTAACCATCAAGACTCATCAAACCATAAAGAGTTTAAGACAGTTTTGCCATATAATTATTTTGCATGTATACATAATACCACATCACAAAAAATAGGTGTTTCAGACCAAGAATTTAGCTCAGCAGCATAAGTGCCTACCTGGTAAACACAAGATTGTGAGTTTGATCCTTAGTACAAAAAAAAAAAAAAATGTGTTTCTAAAATTATGTGAAATACTATTTGATTTTTCTCTTTTCTTCCTTATGCACTCTTTTAACTATATGCAATCATTAAAACTTTAAAAATCTAGTAAAAATGAAGCTAAGCAAAGCAAAGTTGCAATGCCATACTATCAAAGTAGCAAATTCTTAGTAGCAATTATTCCAAAAACTATTACAGAATAATTATTTTAGAAACTGAAAATGTACCTATAAAAAAGTGCCATATTACAAGCATGGTATATCTGAGAACACAAAATACGTTGATATACATTCCTAAACTTTAATAGCACATGACAGACTACAAAGAAAAACCTGAATGATAATCAAGTAACAATTTCAAATTAAAAAATAACAAAAATGTCATCTTTAACATGAATGCTATTTATTATTTCTGTTAATAAATATCTTGCAGGGGTTATAAATAAAAGGAAACTATAGCTACCTAAAAGGTATCCTGAAAAACTTACCATCATTTTGGCTCTTTCCCTTCATCTCCTCCTTCCAGGATAGAATTGTGTTCAAGGCAACATAGTCTCTTAAGTATTCTTTGCGCCTCTCCTCTAAGGTCATCTTCAGTAAACGTTCTTGCAAAATAAAAGTAGAATCGTCATTTGTATTTAACTTTTAAGCTTGGGAATTACTTAATACTTTAACTATTAATCATGGTAAGCTAAGCAAAGGTTTCATACAATTTAGAGAAACATCAAAATACAAGTTGAATGCTTTCATATTTGAGTATTAAAAGATGTCCAACTAATTATTCATTAACTAGAAAACTAAAACCAAAGTGTGATAAACACACTCTGTGACAGTTAAGGAAATAATTCATTTGCTCTTTCAGTCAATATTTACTGACAATTTACTAAATGCCACTTGACACATTTAAAGGTTTATAGATACAAATGTGACTTTACCTTACCCTGAGTTCAAAGGACAAAAAATGAGTAAGATTCAAAATAATATTGAAGTAAATAAAACAAAATGCCAAGACAGATATTATACAAATAAGCACAAGAAAGGCAGTCATCAAGGTATTTCCTTACTTCAACAAGATCATTAACAATGAAAGTACACTTTCAATTGAGTAATAGCTTTATAAAGGTGATAACTGATTACAAGATTAAAACAAGAATTGTATATTAGAATTAGTAACAGTGAGTGTCATTTATAAAGAACTCACCACTTGCCAGTACTTCACACGTATATGTCTGAAACAGTAACAACTCATAAAGTTGATAGACTATTCCTATTTTGCACATAGAGAAATGAAAGACACCAAAATCAAGGGGCTTGCCCAAAATCAGGAACTTTCAAATAAGCCAAGATTAAAATAGATAGATACCTCCATTAATCAAAGAGTACAGCTCCCCAGAAAAGTAATAGGTAAGCACTAGTAGGTAAGGACATGAAGAATTTTGCATGAATGAGTTTAAAAAGTAAGGACATTTCAAGTAACAGAACAACGTTAACCAAAATAAGGAGATGCAAATAGTTTAATGAAACTACATGATATGATATCAGGAAAGGACTGGCCATAGAAATGAAAAATAGGTGAAAACAAGGTAAAAGAAAACCACACGAGCACAGTGATGATGAACCTTTCAGAGCTTTTAATGATATAAACAGCCTGCTGCAGCACATGTGCCTAAATTCACCATTACCGGCATGAGGACTTGTATGCCACGCTGAGCAATTTAACCTTTACTCTATTAACTCCACTTATATGCAAGCCCAATCAGTACATAAAATTATCCACTAGGATGCAGAAAAAAATAAATTCTATTTATTTTTAACCTAAAACACAAGAAAGAGCTTAAGATTCACTAATATTCAACATATAAACTGTCCCTGGCATATTCACTCAGTTTAGTCAGTTGTCATAGATCAATTTACTAGGGGTGCCCACAATGTACAGATTGACAATCATATTCTTATACTCTCCAATGACCTTTCAATGTATTAGAAGATACATAGTTCAGATGCATGGATTTAATATACTCAAGTCACACTTCTCAAGGGTCAACAAACTGAGTTTACTTATGAGATATTCAAGAAGTTGAGATCAAGAATCTAGAACTCAGGAGAAATATCTAGCCTAAGTATTTTGGAAATTGTAACCTAAATTACTGTTGGTCCTAGAAAAAAAAAAAGGAGGGAAGAAAGGACGGGGTGGGTGGTGTGAACCGAATTTTTTTTTAATTTAGATAGGAAGCACAAATAGGAGAACAATAAACAACCTGGCTGTCAGGAATTAAAGGCCCCTGAAATGTGGAAGACAACAGGGAAAAGAGGTTTAATATGCAGAAGGAACGAAATACTGTCAACTGCTGCAGGAAGATCAGGAATAAAAATTATAGTACAAAAATCGTAACTTTTATCAAAAGAGTTACCAATGGACCTGAAAAAGCAGAAAATTGGTTAACAGAGCTATCTGCATTCTAATCTAAATCATTGTGCAATCTCTATGTTTCAGTTTCTTTTCAATATAAGAAGTTAGGTATTATTCCCAATTTATAGATGAAGAAAAGCAGGGTTCAAAAAGTTACCTAAGCTCTCACAGTGAGTAAGCAATTTACCTAGGATTCACATCTGGACAACTGTGTTCAGAGCTCTCAATCTGATAGTACACTACCACACTTTTCTATCTCATGGAGAGAACTGTGTGTGAGAATCATATGAGATAACCCAGGTAAGGCACTAACAATAGTGTTGAATGCATAAATTGACTTAAATATTACCATTCTTATTTAGTACAACCATCACTGTTAACACTAAATGACTTTAGGAATATTAGTTTCAATAGGATATAAATGAAATCCAGGAAACTATGGGGAGCTGTTATAGTTTAAATATGAAATGTCCCCCAGTGACTCACATATTAGAGGCTTGACCCCAGTGAAGCAATGCTCAAACGTGGGGCTTAGTGCAGTGACTGGGTCAAGAGGGTGCTAACTTCATCAATGAACAATTCACTACGAGTTCAGAACTGAAGGGAGCTGGAGCCTAGTTGAAGGAATATAGTCATAGGGAGAAGTGCCTTGAAAAGGCATCTTTTGTCCCTGAACCCATTCTCTTCCTCACTCTCCTTTCTCTTTCTGCCTAATGTCTGGCATAAAGTGAGCCACTCAGGTCCACTACATGCACTCTGTCACAGTATTCTGTCTCATCACACATCCACAACAAAGAACCTGGTCAACTATGGACTGAAAGCTTTGAATACACATGACCCAAAATAAACCTTTGCAACTTGTTACTCACAGGTATTTTGTCAGGGAAACAAAAAGCTCACACAAGGACTTTGCAAAAGAAGAAAAGTGAGAGCAGCAAACTACAAGGCTAAGCCCTGTGAAAGATAAACTACTTTAAGATATAAGACACTTAAATGTATTATAGACAGTAGAGAAGATCCCAAAGACCCTGGGAAATGAAACATACCCAGGAAGGAATAAACAATGGCACAAGACCTCAAATACAGAAAATGGGATGCAGAGGGGTTAACTTTAGAAACAAAGAAGAAAAGTGCTTCCTCAAAGACAGGAACAAAACCTGAAGAACACAAAAGAAATGAACCAATAGACTATGAAGAAGTATGTTAGGGCTGCTCTTATTATATGTAATTTACTTTCACTGCAAATTAAAAAGGCAATTATTATCTATAACAAGGAAGGAGAGCAGTGGTGGAATAAACTTGTAGAGAATATTAAATTTGGAATTATCAATGAAAGTGAAAAAAGATTAGTGTCAGTTTCTAAAGTATTACTTTTAAAGTTCAGACCAATGATAAGGATTATTACAAGTAGCGATCAAGTTAACAGGATTTTAAATATCAGGATGTAACAAAATGAATTCTGGCTTCTGTCATTCTATTTATTTAAAAGTTTAAGTTTAAAGACAGAACAAAGGTAAAAATCAATTACAAAAAGCTAAAAAACAGTAAGCAGTAATATTTGAAAGTACATATTCATTAAGTGGCTCTGAAGTAGAGATAAATTTACCATAGGTGGTCTTGACAACTCAATTACAATATTTGCAATACAGTAAAATAATAAAGGATACAGACCTATGCACTTTCTTTGGCATTACATAAAACTTTTGTTTAAAAAAATGCTTCACCATTCTAAAGAATCTTTTCTCTATCCATCAAGTATGTGACAGCAAGCAGATCGCCTTATTAGATGGTATACTGAGTTAAATATGTTTCTAGAAGGTCTTGACATTTCAATGAGTAGGTAAATCTTCCTTCGGATTTAAATAACAGCTGCAAAAATACTATGCCATCCATTCTCCAGTGGGATAAAAGGAAAAGGTCATGCCTCCCCTCAGCTTCTCTTTTGTACTAGAAAATCTTTGCTCCTTTTTGGTAGAATAACATGTGATAACTTAAATCTTCCAAAAATGAACATCCTGATAAAAGTGAGACATAACTTAAAATCATCAAGTCATACCTTTCCCTTTAACTTTAAGCTTCATGCAAAATAGCTTAGTTTTGAATAGGAAAATTACTTTAACTGCTTTCTTCGTACATCTGCTTTTGTATTTAAAAATATGAATTTGGATATTTTTCCATTAGAAGTAGAAGGAAAAAAGATATTAAAAGATTCTGAAAGGCCTGCTAACCACAGTCCTCTGTGACATAAAAGAAGAAACCATCAAAATACTGTTACTTAGGAACATTTTTTCTAATAGAACAGGAAAACAGTTCTTAAGTACTAACTATAATTTCATCAATGATTCCTGTTATTGAAAGCAATGTCTATGTCTAGCAGTTTCCTTCATTATCACCAATAATACAAAACTAACATTTCAAAGCCATCAATAAAAATGTGCATAAATGATTTTTCAATGCTCACAAAATAAAACTTTGGTGAAAGTATGTTAAAATAACTGTTACTGCAAAAAATGAAGCAAAACTACTTACACTACTTTATATATCAAGCTGTTAGTCTTTAACAGCGTTTGTTATGTGACAGTAAAATTTTTAGATCTCTATGTTCATAATTATTTAAAACAATTAAATGAGAAAAATTAATCACTCAAAAATTTAAAGGCCACTTGACGTTCAGTTATATTAAACATTCCTGTAATGAAGCAGGGGGAAAAATTCGCTCCTCATCCCTTTCTCATGCATTGTCGGAAGTAGGTCCTATGCAGAGAGGATTCTTCTTTTCATTCCTTTTCCTACTGACACTGTTGAGCCCTCATGTTCATAAAAGTCAAGGTTTGCAATACAACTCCACAGATTTTAAAGAGGTATTTTCAGGGAAATCAATTTTAACTTCTATTACACCCTTTAACTTCTATTAAAGATGAGATATTCGGGAGGAAGTTCTACTACCCTTACTGGACCTCACCCTTGATGTATTAGTGTAGTGTATCTCAAGCGTATCTTGCCAGTAGCAATGCAACAAGTACTTTCTCCTACATTTATGTTTTTTAAAAGGGGGTAAAGAATAGAAAGAAAAAGATGTGAAAGGAAAAATGCTAGACTTTCCATCACAATATTACCTATGATTACTGAAAGCGTGACCGAGGGAGGGAACTGCATCACACAGTTGTTTCTTGGGGGAATCAGCGCCACTGTCAGTCTGATTTAGCTAAGCCTCGCTCTATATTGGCATTCAGCGATGGGTTCATTCACAGTGACACATAATCTCACTCTGTGCAACTTCAGATTATGAATGAGAATGCAACAGAGAAAGACGCTGCCTAGAGAGAAGCCCATTCACACTTCCCCGCAGGCACTCATGCTCGCGGTCGAGATGCTCGGTTAAGTTTTCCCCTAGAGTTACACACGTCGAAAGTCACCCAGCGTCCGAGGACCTAGGGGACCGACACCCTGTGAAAGCAGAAACTCGAGACGGCGGGGAGCTCTGGCCAGGCTGGGCGGAGGGCACCAGAGGGCAGGCACGCCAGAAACTGTGCACCCGCCGGCGTGGAACGCCCAGCCGCGGTCCCAAGGAACTTGTCCGGGCCACCTGGGGAAGGTGACCCGGCACAGGGAGACGGAGGAGCCGCGCTGGCGGGAGGTGCAGCGCGCGTGCCCGCCGGCGTGCGCGCGTGTGCCAGAGTGTACACACGGACACGGGAGGCGACGGCGCCGGCCAGAGGGACCCCCGCCCCCACCCTCGCGCCCGCCCGCCCGCCGGTGCCCCGGGACCCGACGGGCCGGTTACCTTTCTCCTCTCTCCACACCTTTTTCTTCTTGTTGCTGGGGTACATGCTGCCGTGGGGGTGGCTGGCTTTAAACTGCAAGTTCCCCAGGCTCACGGGCAAGCAGGGTGTGTGTGGAGTGGGAGGGGTGGGAGGGGGGCAACCAGGAGGAAAAAAGTGAAAGAGGCTCTGCGTCTTGCGCCGCTCGTCGCCGTCCAGTCGTCGCCCTCCTCCCTCAGCCCGCGCTCGGCTTGGGCTCCTACCCGCCTCAGCCCGACGGCCGCTTCCACAGCAGCACCTCAGAGCCTGTCAACTAGGTCACGCCTCGCGCTAACCTAACACCCGCGCAGGCCCCGCCTCCCAGCCGCTAGGCAGCGCCTCCTCCCATTGGCTGCACCGCCCGCCGCTCTCTGCTTTCCAGCCAAGGCGCGCCCCGACTTCGGCCTCAGGACGCACGCGCAGGCGCAGGCTCGGGCCCGACGCCGAGGACGTTGGGGATCTGAAGGGGGAGGGACGAGGGCCCTGGGGCGGGAGATAGCCTCAACGGAGGCGGGGCGTGGAGCCGACGCTTAAAAGCAGAGGAGGAGGGCGGTGCTACCCTCGGGCTTCTGGGCTCAGGATCAGCTAGCTTAGCAGGTTGGGCGAGGAGAGTGCAGGGTACTGCGGGAGCCGGCAAAAGCAGTCTCTGGAATCCGAGATCGTACAAGTGGGGGGAGACCATGCGTCCACAACGAATTGCCCGAGCTTCTCGAACTACCCGGTCCCAAAGGGTTTTATCTGATCACTGAAGCGTTCCTCCGGGTGGGCAATTAGAAGTGTGAGGGCTGGAAAACCACAGCAGAACCCTTGCCCTCAGCCGCTCAACCGCCTAGTGAAAATTACAGAAATTCAGCGAGGTTTGCAAAGGATGAAGGTAGACTGGCCTCGAGTGTTTTAAGAACTAGGATACTGTAGGCAACCAAAATGTTACATTGCAAGAAGGCTTCCGTCGTAGCAAGGCTCAGGTGCTAACCAGAGCCTGGTTGTCTGTCTACTGCTGTACTGACGGTTTCGGGTTGAGGCTCAGGTCCAAGGGCATCTTTATTCTAGGTAATAGTAATCTGCCCGGGTTTGGAAATTTGTACAGCAAGAAAGTCCACCACAAAAGGAAGGATGACCTAGAATTGGGAAGAAGTCCTCCCAAATTTAAGGCGTTTCTAGCAATCAGGCAGTTCAATCTGCCGATTTGGTGCAAATGTTACCATTTCGGGTTTATTTGTCAATTTGCAATTTATGTTATATGTTGGGCAAGTAATTATTTGGAACTCTTTCTAAAATAAAATTGAGGGAATGAGGTCTTATTAAGAATTGTAAAGCATGGAATTTTTTAGTAGTGGGATGCTCTTATAAGAATGACTCAAAGCAAGATATAACGTTATAATTTTATTATGACATTCTCTGCTTTTTTTTTTTCTTTTTCCTTTTTATGGGTACCAGGGATCGAACTCACTACCTGCTTGTAAGGCAGGCGCTTATGCCGCTCAGCTAAATCCCCAGCCCCAATTCTCTGCTTTTTAATACTGTGAAATATATAAAAATTTATTTGCTGAGAAAAATTAGGAAGGGTTCAAGAAGGAAGTGACATTTGAGGTAGCAATAGAAATATACAGTCTTTTATTGACAATGGGACTAGAAAGAAGGCTTTGATTCAAGCATCAATAAAAATTGGTAATAGAATAGATTTAGGGAGTAGGTGAGGGAAAAATAACGCTTCATTAAAAGAGCGAGAGAGTAATGATAATGGTAATATGCAAATAAAACAGTTTGAATATGGGTAATGATCCCCAGAAGTCCTACTGAGATGGCACTGTTGGGCTATGGGAAACCTTTAAGATGCAAGAGACCCTTAGCAGAAAGCAGAGGTGGTCCTTCAAAAGAGATTGTGGAAACCCTGTCTCAGTCTCTGGCTGCATCCTAGCTGTAGATGTCAGTAGTCTGCTCCACCACAAACTCTTCTTATAATGTGCCAGTATTACTAGAGGCCCAAACCAAGGGGCTGCTAGAACCTCCAGAACCATAAGCCAGAATAAACTTCTCTTTACTTCATAAGAAGCCTGTCTGGGGTGTTTCATTACATTAATGCAAAACAGTAATACAACAGTTGAAGAGCATGTGTTGGGAGAAAGACACTGAATTATTTAAAATGCTAAGTGCAAGATGTCTATAGGAAAGTGCCTCATCAGGCAGCTTCCCATCGAGAGGAAAGCTATTTACATTTCTCAAGCAGTGCTGATGTTTTCATAACACTGTTTAGCTATTAGTTATCTCTTCTTTCATGTCAAAGAACTGAAATTTTCATTGTGTTAAGTCACTGGTGTTTAAACGGCATTTGTTTCAGCATTTGATTAGTCTGACAAAAAATATTCAAAAGTATTAAATATTTAATGTCTCAAAAATATTTCAAATGTACCATGTACCAAATGAAGCTCATAATCCTTGGCCCACACTTAGTCCTCTGTCAGTTTTCATTGTGTCTGTGAATGTCTCTTCACTCATTCAGCTGAACAGTCTAGAAATCCCTACAAGCATCATTGCTAGTGCCTCTTAGAACTTCATGTTCATCACAAGTGGGCTGCTGTACCAGCTCCAATTTTATTTTTTTAGTTCCTTTTGTATACACCTTGATTTTATATTTAATTCTAGATCTCCCATATAAGGCTAAATCACTGCTTTTCTATAGCATTACAGTAAACTCTCAATCTGAATTGTGGGTGGGGAGGGGGAGTCTTACTTAAGATTGAACCCAGGGAAGGTTGAGTACATCCCTAGAACATTTTTTATTTTGAGACAAGCTCTTACTAAATTACCCAGGCTACCCTTAAACTTTTGATCCTCTCACTTTAGTCTGACCTGGAATTATAGATGTGGACCAGCATGCCTTGCAGCCTTAGTTTGAATTTACCTAGGCTGTTGCAAAGACTTCCTAGCTATACCACGTCTACTTGTGCACTTTTTCTATCCAGTATCTGCACTGCATCTAGGGTTGTCTTATTAAATGTGATCTTGTCATCTTGCTGATAAAAATCATTCAGTGATTTCTAGAGGCCTTTCTTATGGACAAAATTGTGTTTCCTCCCTAAATTAATGTGTTGAACCCCTAGCCGCCTGTGTGATTATATTTATAGATAATGTCGTTAGGGGGTAATTAAAGTTCAGTGACCTCATAAAGGGGGCCCTTAATCTTACAAGACTTTGGTTTTATTAAAGGAGGGAGATCTGTTTTCCTCACTCACTCACTTTCAGCCACATAAGGACACAGAGAAAGCAGACATCAGCAAGCCAAGAAAAAGACCCTCACTAGGACTATACCATGCTGGCACCCTGATGTCAGGCTTTCAGATTCCAGAACTTCAAGAAAATAGCATTTTTAAATCTATGGTATTTTGATATGGTGGCCTCGTATTTTCACTAATAAAGGCTTCTTGTAATAAATTAAGAATAGAGCAATCATCACCTACTAATCCAACCTTGTACCATGCCCCACACTCCCCCCAACACCCCGGCTTCTGGTTCCAGCTGTATGAACCCTGCAGAGAGCTTTTCATTTCCTTGAACAGAACTTTTTCACCACACAGCTGTTGTCACTATACCTTGTTTAGATGACCCACTTTCATCCTTCAAATTTCAGCTTGCACATCACACTTTCACAAAGCCTTCCTTGACTCCCACTTGGCCCCTATACTCGGTTTCCCTTTTCTTTGTCCTCAGTGGTCATTAATTTTCCTATAAAGCATTTTTTACAGGTTATAATTTTACATTTAATTTTTGTGACTATTTTTGTTAATATCAATATTAAATTTACAACTCCTTGAGGATAGGAATATTGTTTTTTAATATCTAACTTATTATAGGACTCAATAAATATTGAGTCAATAAAAAATAAATCATATTTGGTGAGCATCCAAAAGAAGTATTGGCAACACTAATAAAGAGCACATTTGAACAGAAGGGAATATTTTGGAAAGGCCCTAATTTTAATATGAAAACTAAAAAAAGAAAATGAATTAATGAATACTTCAAAAAGAGTGACAAGTCAGTTTTAGCATAGATTGGGCATCTAAAAGATGAAAGAGGCTGGGGATTTAGCTCAGTGGCATAAGCACTTGCCTGGCAAGCACAAGGTCTTGAATTGGATCAAAAGAGGAAGCAACAGAAGAATGAAAGATTGAGTTCCAGACTGTGGGATAAGGTGATTATAATTCAATTTTCATAGAAACCAATAAAATATTGTGGTATGAAGTGACAGATGTCTCTGAGACAATATCATTGGACTTATAGTCTGGGTAAATTAGTGAAAATAAAAATAAGCAGTTGAAGAAAAAATCGGAGGCACAAAGCCAGAAGCATTATCTTTTGAGATAATTAAGGACTGAAGGAAAAGAAGAGCATATAAGAGGTAAAAGGATCCAGAGTCATGGGAAAATTTTTCTAAGAGAGGTGACTTGAGTATTTAAATCAAGGAGAAGGACAATGACAAAAAGTATTCAAACACATGCATACATACACACACACACAAAACAGAAAAGAGAAAAGATATTAAACTGCTACTAGAGAAAGTGAAGTCGATAAAATCAAGTGAGAGAAGAGCTAGACATAATTTTAGAAGGATATTTCATTTTTAAAATGAATTAGAAAAAGAACAAATGAGCAGAGATGCAAAGAAGTTTTTAAACAAAAAGGAAGAATGTAGAAAACATTGGTACTCAGTTTCAGTACAAGTAGGAAACAAACTTATCTGAAAATACTGATAGTTTTGGATTTAAATGAGAAAAAGTTATTTGGACAATATTTAATGAATATTTTAAGTCATTTGAATAAATTATTTTTATGTAATTTCAAGAAGTATGACAGTACTTCTCATTTGAAAGCACGTCAGTGAAAGGAAAAAAACATCAGGGACTGTGGTAGGCTGCATATGATATCCAGGTCCTATTCTCTGGAACCCATGAATGTTATACTATCTGGCAAAATAAGATAAAGGATTTTGAAAGAGGGGATTATCCTGGATTATGTTAGTGTAAGGCCCTGGGTTCAACCCTCAGCACAACCTTCTTCCGCACAAAAGTAGATTCTTGCCTGGAACCCACCTTTAACTTCAGCCTTGTAAGAATTTTTCTGGATGTCTGGCCTCCAGAACTGTAATGATAAATTTCTGTTGTTTTAACCCACTAAATTTGTGTTGACTTGTTATCACAACAATGGGAAACTAACCGAGTAAACCTGTAAATTCATGACAATAAAATGTTTCTGAAGTAATTACTTAAGCACTGTGTAAAAGTTGGATATATTTTAGAAATAATTTTTAAATTCCTCCATTCATTGGATATTTTTATTAATTCCATGCTTTTCCCTAAGTATTCATTTTGCTTTCTGATAGATTTGAAGTTACTCACCTATGAAATGTCCCCATTGATTGAAGTTATAAAGAATGTAGTCTTAACAGTCTTTGCTTATTTTTCTCCTAGTAAAACTTCTGCAGTCCCTAATTTAAAAGGAAGATAAACATTTTCATCCAGCTTTACAGCAAAGCAGACTTGGACCATATGTTTTCTGTCTGCCATTAAAGAATGTCAGCACAAGTATTTTAGTTTTGTGTTTACCTAAGTGCAGCTTATACCTTGTTGTGGTTTGAATATTGTGTATAACTCACAGGTTCATATGTTGAAATTTAATCTCCATTATGGAGTATTAAAAGAGTGGAAATTTATTCCAGCTATGGCATTTAGAGGTGGGACATTTGGGAGACGATTAGAATTACATGATGTCGTTAAGGTGGAGACCCCGTGACTGAATCCTGGTGGCTTTATAAGAAAATGGAGAGATTGCAGTTATAATGTGTTTGTCCTGCTTTCTTTATTTTATTATCTGTGATGGTATGAACAACTAATTTGAGGGAAACAAGTCATTATAATAGCCAGTGCTGATTTAGTATCATCTTACTCTAAAGTCCTACCATGCTCTTGCTCTTCTGTTTCCATTGGCTCTCTCATGCTGTACCTTATTTGATTGTATTACGTTTGAAAGTATAAACAAATTTTCTATGTAAATGAGATAATATAGTAGCCATCGTTTGTTTTCTGTTCATTTGGTTCTGAATGCCCTGTAATACTCTCATTCTCTTGAATGTTTTTATACTATTTTGTTATGTTTGATACTATTGTATATGAAGTTATATGCAACTATTTCAAAGAAAGAAACATCTTGGTAGTTTCTGTTAATTATGGGTTGTCTTCTGGTGAAATACTGTGTTGCTTACATTGTTCTGTTCTGATCTTCTCTGTTATGTCCTATATTGTCTTAATCTCTTTAAAATAAAAAAAGAAAAGGGAGAGACAAGAGGAAACATACACAAGTGCATGATGTGATACATCTTGTGCCACTTCTGGACTCTGTCAAACAGAATGCCATCACTTAAATGTGGTTCCTTGGCTTTGCTTCGCTAGGACTATGAGGGAAAATAAATATCCTTTTTATGAGATGACTCCACATCAGATATATCTCATTTTAGTAACTTTTAGTAAAAAGTGAATAGTGTAGCTCTCTGGAGATAACATGAAAATAAGAACTCCCAGCAACCCTGAACACAGTTGAACATTAATGCAGACTTACACAAATTAAACTTCTAGTCCTTTTCTTCTGTATCAGAGTAATGTCTACCTAAACTTTCAAGCTTAAATTTTCTGTACATCCCAAGGGATAGCAGATTAGATATGGTTCTTTCTCACAGCCTACTATCTCCAGTAGGTGCCTCTAGCTTGAAAAGAATTTCCCAAAAGCCCATTGGCTCAGGAGAAAGAGAATGGTTACTTAGCAACTATGTCCTAACCCCTCAGACCTGAGAAGCTTGGGGGTCCAGCCACCTAGTTCTGCCTGTGTTACAGTGAAGAGGATCTGCTTAGGAGATGAAGCTCTTGAACTGGTTAACAGAGATACTGATAATTCTTGGGGTCACAATTACAAGTAAGTTTTTCCGTATTTATATTTCTCTATGGGGGTCTTTTTCTGCTTTAACAGCACTAAAGGCCTTAAGCCAATTTAAAAAATCAACAGTAACTTCACTGTTCTCCCAATTAACACCATTTTTGTACAGTTACTCTTTTTGGGGCAATACTTGACGATGATTAGTGTTTATGTGGGAGAGACAGAAAAATCTGTGAGGAATGCATTACAGTAATTTTAATAAAATAGGACTATTTGAGAGAGGTTGTTAAGTGTTACAAAAGATTTTCCATGATCTTAAAGGAAAAGTATAAAACTTAAAATGTAGGGGGTGGGATTTAGCTGTGGTATAAGTGCCTGCCTGGCAAGCATGAGGTCATGAGTTCAATCCCCAGTACTACAAAAAAAAAAAAAAAAACTTAAAATGTGAAAAAATTCTATAACCAATTTTTTTTTTTGAGACAAGTCTCAAAAAAATTGGCCAGGCTGGCCTCTGATTTGGAATCCTCCTGCCTTAGACTCTCTAGTTGCTGGGAGTATTGATACAAAACACTATGCCTGGCAGAATTTATATTGCTTTTAAAACCTCATACAATAACAACTTTACTTCCAAAGTTTTAATGTTTCCTGAATAGTTACTACCTGAAAAAAGGTAATTATTTTCCAGCCTTTTTCCCTTTTTACTTCCTGAGTTATTTTCACCTAATCCTCACATAATCTAGTTAGTAAAATAAAAATTTGGTTACCAATACATATTCAATTTAAAGAACATTTATTTGGATTTAGTCCAGGAAGTCCAGAGTTTGTTTACCAGCTGAAAATTAACCAATGTAGCACACCATATCAACAAATTAAAAGGCAAGAATGCATGATTCAGTCAATCCAAAAAAACTGATAAGATAAACAAAATAATAAAAACACCCAATATACTAAAAGAAACTTTCCTAAAATAGTAAAAACCATACAGCCTCAAAAATGCAACTGTACTTATTTAATGAAGGAAAAAATGCATTCCCCCTAAGATCGGGAATAAGATAAGGATGCTATTGTACTAGAATTCCAGCCATGAAAATCAGCCAAAAGGAAGAAGAAGGAGAAGAAGAAGAAGAAGAAGAAAAAGAAGAAGAAGAAGAAGAACTAGAAGAAGAAGAAAGAAAAACAAAGAAAGAAGAGATATCAAGATTGGAAAGGAAGAAGCAAAATCATTATTGCTATTCATAGATGACACGGCTTTTTATACAGACAATTCCAAATTACTTATTACGAAACTATTAGAATTAATAAACAAGCCAGGTATAAGGCTGTGTTCCTGTAAACCCAGCACTGTGTAAGGCTAAGATAGGCAGGTCACAAGTTTGAGCCTAGCTTGCGCAGTTTAGTGGCTTAGCATGACCCTGTTTCGAAATAAAAAATTTTAAAAAGAGCTAAGGGTGTAGCTCAGCAAAAGGTCCATTTTAAATACATAAATAAATTTGGCAAGGTTGCAGGATAAAAGATTAATGTACAAAAATTAATTCTATTTCTATAGAGTAGCAATAAGAAAATCTAAAATTAAATTTTTAAAAATTTCAGTAATACCAAAGGGAATAAAGAAAGGTTGGGAGACTTACTGTAAAGTTACAATAATCAAGGAAGTCTGAAATGAATGTGGTGTAACATGCCTGTAACTCTAGCTACTCAGGAGGCTGAGGCAAGCAAAACAAGAAAATCACAAGTTCAAGGCCAGCCTGGGCAATTTTGCAAGACTTTGTCTGAATTTTTTTTTTAATTTGAAAAAAAGAAGAGATGGTGGGGACATAACTCAATAAAAGGCCCTGGTTTCAATCCCTGCTACAGCCCTCTACAAAAGTGTGCTATTGGCATGAAGATAGACATACAGATCACAGATAAACAGATCCTCACAGTTGTTTGTTTGCTCCAATAAGCCTGCCAGGATAACTCAATGTTGTGTTGTGCAGGCATGGGGAGAATACTCTATTCAATAAATGGTGCTGGGACAACTGGATTGTCACATGAAAAAGAATATTTGGACAACAATCTTATGTCATATACTCAAACTGATTCAAATTGAATCAAAGACCTACATATAAACTTAAGCTTTTGAATTTTTTAAATATAAGAAAATAAATCTTGACCTTGGATTAGGTGATTTCTTAGCTATGCCACCAAAAGCACAAACAAAAAGAAAAAAGCCAGACAAACTGAAAATCATAATTAAAACCTTCGTGTCCAAAACATATCACCACAAAATAGCGGGGCAGGGGAGGCAAATTTTGTAAGTTCTATGCAGCAAACATTTAGCATTCAGAATACACAAGGAGTCTTAGAATTCATCAACAAAATGACATCCCAATTTGACAATGGACAAAGGAATGAAATCCAGTAGACAAAGGAACTGAACAGAATGCAAAAATGTACAAGTAGCCTAGCACATGGAAGATATTCAACATCACTGGACATTAAAGAAATGAAAACCAAAACCAGAATGATAAATTATATCATATTGATAAGAATGGCTATAATCAACAAACAGAGCACTGTGTCACTGCACTCCTGAAAGGAAGATGGGTCACCAACAGCACTAGTGGAGCTAGCTGTGACATTTCAGCCAGTTTGTACTCATGCTTCAACTATCCAGACCTGCATATTTGATTCAGAAATACGGCCTCAACACATGCCACCAATGTTTCATCAGTACAGGAAAAATTTATGCTGTATTATATAGGAAAAAGTGAGCTTCCTGGAAAGAATTACCCAAAACTCTCACCTAATGATCAAAATCCTGATGGTATATAAAATAAAGTTTAAAACAAAAGAAATAGCATAAAGGTAGCTTGTGGGAAAGCATCTGCCTAGACCACATGCAGCCCTGAGTTCCATCTCTAGCACTGCAAAAACACAGAAACAAAAACCCAAAAGGAGACAGGGAGAGAGAAAAAGAAATGATTTCTTTCAGCAAAGATGTGGAGAAATAAAAACTCTCATACTATGCTGGTAGAAATATAAAATGGTACAGTCATTGTGGAAATCATATGATGCATTAATTCCACTACTAAATATATATGCAAGGGAAATGAGAAATATATGTCCACACAAAAATTTGTGCATGAATGCTTTTAAGGTCATTATTCACTACAGAAAAAACAATAGAAACAACTCAAATATTGATAATGGATAAATAAATAAACAAAGTATAGTATAGATGTACAACAGAAAGTTACTCAGCCATGAAAAGAAATGAGGTACTAACACATACAAAATGTTATGCTATGTGAAAGAATCTGACTATTGTATGATTGCTATTTATAGAATAGCTGAAATAGGCAAATCCAGAGATGGAAAGCAGCTTAGCGTTTGTCAGTGGATGGGGGAAGGAAGAGTGTGGAGAGACTACTTAATGGGTACCGGGTGTACTGCTGGGCTGGTGGGCAAGCATTGAAACTGGAGAGAAGTGGTGGTTGCACAATATTTTTAATGTTCTAAATGTAACTGTGCATTTTAAGATGGATAATTATATGTTCTATGAATTTCACCTCAATTTTTTAAAAACTGTACAACATTGAAAAAGTTAGTTCTTTGAAATGCTAAACATAGTTAGCATATGATCCAGCAGTTCTACTCTAAGACACCAACCTCAGAGAACTGTGGATGTTATTCTACACCAAAACTTGCATTTGAAGGGCAGCATTATTCATGATGATCCAGCAGCAGAAATGACCAAAACGTGCCTCCACTGATAAATGTACAGTGTTCTAGCGATACAATAGAATATTATTTAACAAAAGCAAAGAAAGCACAATATGGTCGAACCTTGAAAACTTTACACTAGAGAACCTAAACACGTAAGACCACATATTGCACAATTTTTCACATATATGAAATGTCCAGAAATGCTTGGTTAGCTAGGGTTGGGAGATACGGGAAAATCAGAAAAATGACAGCTAATGAATACAGGACTTTTTTGAGGATAATAAAATTATTCTGAAACTGATTTGGGTACTGATTGCACAAGTGTGAGAATATCCTCAAGGATACTGATTATAGGAAGAGAAAAAAATGTTTTCTGAACTAGTAAGTAAGACTGAAAATGTACAATAGATACTGTGCATTGCAAAGAGATTGTTCAAATGAAAAGAGAAATTGTGATTGGGGAAAGGGAAAGGAAGGAGAAAAGGAAAATATACAAGATAGCTAAGATAGTTATACTGCTAGTTTCTCTAAGAAAAGAAAGGTTTGTATTAATATTGTTTGGACAATATCTTATACCTATATGTTTACCTGAGTAACTACTCTGAAGATAACAATACAATGTATTATTTTTACTTTCCTATTATCTTGCTTTGAAATGGATTTATTTTTGTCTTCTTTTTTAGAACTATAAGTATTTGTATATTATGTGCCAGAAGGATTGGAGAGACAAAAATATTTGAGACACAGACCTTACCCTTGAATAGCTTAAGATCTTGAAAGGAAAATCAAAAGTAAATATATTGTAAAGTGCTGTAGACATTAAAATAGAAGCATTTGCAGGGTAATATAAGGCACAAATATGGGAGAGAACAGTTCTACTACTGGTAGGTGGAGCGGTCAGAAGAGACTCACAAAGGAAATTACATAAACTGAAATTTGAAAAACTAGCAAGTGATCAAGCAGGCAAAGGAGAACAAGAAGATTTCAGGCCAGATAAAGGGTACAAAGACACAAAGCAATAAAAGAGCATGGTCTACGAAGTATATCAGAGTCCTGTAGTATAAGATATAAGAAGGAACACAATGACTGATAGGGCCAAAGTGGTAGGCTGAGACTCTGTGATAAGCTATGAAGTTTGAGTTGTCTCCCGTGACTATCAGCAAGTCATTTAAGGGCTCACTCATAGAAACACACTTTAGAAAAATGACCTTTGCAATAGAAGACTGGATGGCTTCTAGCTGATAACTCTGGTGACAGTGTAACAAGCAGGTAACTATGGAATGATCCAAACAAGAAACAATGAGGATTTAAGCTACAGCAATTGCAGCAGG